AGGAGACTCACTTGAGCCCAGGAGTTGGAGGTTGCTGTGAGTTGTGACACCACGGCACTCTACCCAGGGGGACAGCTTAAGGCTCTGTCTCAAAAAAAAAAACAAAAAAACCCCAACCAATCAAACAAAAAAAGAGCTATGTGACCCTCATTTTAAAGGGAGGCACCTGTGGCATAGAGGGGTTAAGTAACTTGCTCAAAGGCACACAACTAGGGAGTAAGTGAATTTGATCTTCATCTGTCAGGGTGCAGATGCTCTTGCTCTTAAGCGCCCCGCCCTTGGTGAGTGAGTAACCCCAGAGGAAGGAACGGTGGCTACTGGCTCCCAGCACACCCACACTCGGCCCAGGACCCAGCGCTAACCTGGACACGTGCCTCGCTGAGGTTGACGCGCCGGGCGAGCTCCTCCCGCACGAAGGCGTCGGGGTAGTGCGTGCGCTCGAACACACGCTCCAGCGCCTGCAGCTGGCTGCTGTTGAACGTGGTGCGATTGCGCCGCTGCTTCTTCTTCCTCTTGGCTGCGCTGCCTCGTCCGGGGCTGGGACACTCACCTGCAGAGGGGTGGGATGGTCAGCGCCTGGTGCCCCCGTGGCCCCGCCTGATACATCTGCACCCTGGGTGCCAACACAGTCTGCCACCAGCTCAGTGCTTTACTTGAGTCTGTCTCCCTCAGCAGATGGGTGGTCTGTAGACCCAAGTGCAGGAACATTCCCTCATTCATTCCTTCCACATGTTCCAAGTGCAGGAACATTCCCTCATTCATTCCATTCATTCCTTCACTCACCTATCCATTCATTCATTCTTCAACACATACTTACCGGGCACCCACCATGTGGCAGGCACAGTGCTCGACTCTGGGGATAGAATGGTGAACAAAAGCAGCCAGGCCCCTGTTCTGTAGAGTCCCCAGTCTGGGCGAACAAAGATGGGGGCCATGGTGAGAACCCAGGAAACAGCCACCCACCCCATCGGGAAAACAGACTTGGTGAGGAGAGCCCAGAAGACCCCTGTGTGTCCCCAGCACCCAGCCTAGGCTCTGAGGCATGCTAAACTCTCTATCAAAATGTACTGTTAGGCTCGGCGCCTGTGGCTCAAGCGGCTAAGGCGCCAGCCACATACACCTAAGGTGGCGGGT